TTATAATTTTAGCCTATTCATATGATATCTTTATCAATCAACTTGGCCTATTCTTATGACATCTTTATCAATCAACTATATAGATAAATAGTGCAGGCTAACCATTTTTCATATCTTTTCGAGTGATACAATTTACTGTGAAATAACATGGGCTAACCATTTTTAACTCTTTCAAGTGATACAACTTATACTTTTAGCCTATTTTTATTACATCTTAATCAATCAACTATTGTAGTAAATTAGCCGGGTCTAGCCCCTTTTAAGTTTTTCCAAATGATACAATTTTAGCCTATTTTTATGACATCTTAATCGATAATCTATTGTAGTAAATTAGCCAGGGCTAGCCACTTTTATGTTATTTCAAATGATGCAATTTTAGCTTATTTTTATGGCATCTTAATCAATCAACTATCTAGTAAAATATATAGGGTGGGGCCTAACCACTTTTCAGCTCGACAATTGAGAACTAGCTAGTCACTATTACAATAAAATTTTCAATTTACAAAATAGCCACTTTTAAGTGTGGGGTTAACCAATATTAGGTAGATATTGAGATATCATACATTACTAAGCAATCTCTATTGTGTGTATTCTATATATTAACTCTTGTTGTTTCTAGTGCTTATGTTATTGTTTGTTTTTAGGGAGTTGGCCTATGTAACTTAGGCAACACATGTTTTCTAAATGCGGTTGTGCAATCTTTTATGCACACCGTAGTGTTTCTTGAGTTACTAGCATCGATTGATCATGTATCACCATGTGATAGTAAGTATTAACTTAGAATTTATTTTTAGTTTGATCCATTTTGAATGGTTTTTACCTTAGTTGATTCATCTCATTTCTTGTTGCAGATCACACAGTCGAATTTCGTGTAGTTTGCATGATTCAAGATCTAGTTGACCTTTCTATGGCTGGTGCCTTTGATTATGTCTTGCCGAAAAAAATTGTTAGCCACTTGAGAGGTATGTTTTATCATATCTTGTTTGTGATTTAACATGAGAGATATCACTCATCTTGCACACACACATGGAAATGGGTGGATTAACGTAAACCTATGCTCCCGTCTCTAAACCATTTATAGTTAACCCTAGTAATTTATTTATTTCATTTTGAAGTTTACTTTAGTTTTAAATCAAGGATTGAAATAACATTCTCATCAATGAAGTACATGAAAAATTTGCATAATATGATCATTTTTAAAGTACAAAAACTCATCGAGGACAATTGTAAAATAGTTATAGTATAGTATTGATTATAGTTTGATCGTCAACTTGAGCTTTGTGCCTCTGTGCCAACTATGTACCTTACATTTCTTTGTATTCCTTAACTTTGTCAAAATATCAGATTTTTCACCCGATTTCGATTGGTATCAACAAGAAGATGCACATGAATTCTTACAGTGCTTTTTCAATAAACTCGAATATTGTTGTTACAATCTAGAACCACAAGACAACATTGTGAAGGAGGCCCTTGGTGGTCATTTACATGTTTTTTATCTCGATTTTTTTCATTTTTCAAATTGATGTGTAATTCTTTTACTTGAGTCGAGGGCTATCAAAAACATCCTCTCTACCTCCCAAGGTAGGGGTACGATATGCGTACACTCTGTCACACACGAGCCTTTAATCGACATAAGCTTAGAGATTGAGGACATTGACAATGTACTAGCAGCACTAGAGTCTTTCACTAAAATCGAAAAAAATGAGTTTTCTTGTGAAAAGTGCAAGACACAAGGGCCATTTGAGAAGCAGCTCATCGCTGATCGTGCCCCTTCTGTTGTTGCCCTACATTTGAAGAGATTCAAAAATAACGGAATAGTTGTTCAGAAGGTGGACAAGCATGTTTCATTTCCGCTGGAATTGGACATGCTTCTTTATACCAACAAAATCAATAATGTGAGTATCTTTATTTGGACTTTACGTGAATTTTATCTTTTGTTAGCAGTTACATGATGTTGTTTCAATTTTTTTTCTTTTCTCAATAGGAAGAAATGAAATATGATCTCTACGCAATTACAGTGCATTCCGGACCTTCAATATCTTCAGGACATTATTACAGCTTCATTCGTTGTGCTCCAAATGAATGGTACAAATTTAATGACGAGCAAGTTTATTGGAAAATAGTAGAATTTCCTTAATTTGTTAGAAACATTTTGAGTTTACGACAACTAACTTGATATTTTGTTTGATTTTGTCCTAGGTTGTTTTTGTTGAAGAAGATTTTGTTTTAGCACAAGAGGCCTATATTATGTTTTATGCAAGGAGAAGCACTCTATGGTTTTCAGATTATATCCAAATCCATAGGGCCTTCGTAAATCTGATTATCCCCACAACTTCTACGTGCATTCCAAATAATCATGCTTCGATGTTGGTGAATTCAATAATGTTGCAGATGATACAAATATGAAGCATGAACTCAACAAGATTGAGGAGGATGATTCCCCTGGTAAACTCATCTTCTATTTCTATTTCTGTATTTCCTTTATTTTAAATTGAGGGTCTATCGAAAATAACATTAATATCTCAACCAAGTAGATTAAGGTTCACTAGCACAAATTCAATTTCTTTTTTTATTCAAGTTAAACATATGTTCAAACTTCAAACACAACATGTGAATACATATTTTTTTTTTTCAACTTCAATCAAATTTTGTTCAAACAACTACTAACTATTTCTTTTTTAACATTAGCAGATCAGGAATATTCCAAAGATCAATTGCAGGACATGAAAATAAAGCACGTGTGTTCAAGAGATGAAGAATTCATGGATGCATTGCATGACGGCTCACATGTAAGTTTTGTGAATGAAAAGAAGAGGAAGCTGGAAGATTCTCCGAGTAGAGACGATTGAAGTTCAACTAGCTAGTAGTTGTCGATCAAGCCTTGGCTCTGCAGGTTTACCTTATTAATGGCTAGTAGTAGCAACAACAAAATGAGTAATTTGAACTCATAGAATAGTCTTTTTAATATAATGCTTTGGGTTCCCATAGGCGAATTCAAAATTTTGAGTTAATGGATTCAAAGATAGAAATGATATCTTATTGGATTTTGGATGAATTATTTATAAAAAATGGTTTTTATTTGGTGTTTGAATATCTTTCCCTTGGACTTGTGAATGAAAGAGTTTTGAGTAGTTATTGTATTCTATTGAATCTGTAATTAGAATGCTACTCATGTCCAGTTAGGTCTCAATGTGTGTTCGGCATGAAAGGAAAAATGTTTTATAATTTTTCATGTTCGGTTGGTCAAATATTTTGAAAAATATTTTCTCTAGGAAAACAAACTCCTTAAAAATGAGGAATCTGGTGACTTCCCTAATGAAAGTAGAGAATTTTTGAAAAAAAAAATTCATGAAAAACATTTTCCTTTCGTATCGAGAAACATCCACAATGTACTACTCTTGAACTGGCCTAAGTAGTTTTTGGATATCTTGTTTAGTTTATTATGTATCTATGCATTAATGTTGCAACTTGCTAAATTATGTAATACTACATTTTCTAGTTGTTGTACTTTACTGTAAACAACATATTTAGTGTAATGTGACAATGATATAACGTGCCGATGGTATGGATAGGAGAGGATGGTGTGTATGTAGCTTTATATCTATATTGAGCAAGATACAGACTATTTCTGGTAGATTGTGCAAAAGATATCAAGAGTAAATTAAAGTATGTAAAGCAAATACAGTAATGAAGATTGAAGTCGTACTGAAATGGAGAATAGAACCATGAAGATAAATAATATGATAATTGAAGCCAAAGACGCAACAAGTAATACTAAAATTGAAGAATAAGATTGTATATACGAGAGTAGGAATAATAATAATAATAATAATAATAATAATAATAATAATTACGATAAGGAAACTAGGTAATGCTCGAAACTGATTTGGATACGTTTTACCCGAGTCAAAAGTTCTCTATCGGAAACAACCTCTCTATCTTTGCAAGGTAATCAAGTTTGTCTAACCATCTATTAATCGAATTTATTGATTTGAATAGTCTAGACTCCATTCGTAGGGGTAGGGTTAGTTAAAGCCTTGAAGGGGAAAATACTCCATATTCAATATTTCTCAATTTTCAGAAATCTAACACAAAATCCTGTTTTGGTTGCCATGGAATCGACCCGTGAATAAGGTAAACCCAATGAAAACCTAAAAATTACAGGTACAACATAAGATAGAAGACAATCCAAAAAATGAAGGCTCAACCAACTCATGGAAAATGTGAGATCGTCAATAGGTTGCTTCTTTGTACGCCGCGATCAAAATAAAATGGTAAGAAGTCATAATGAATAGTCACAATCGAAGGTTGGCTCTAATCGATAAACTCTAATTAAAGTCGATCGAGTTCCATCCATCTCACCATATTCTATATATAATTGTCATGATCACAATATTAATAACGATATGATATGTGCGTTTATTTTTCTACGCTAAAAAAGACAACACCTTGCATGTGCTATGGCTGAATTTTATTTGCTTTGATTTCTCTCAAGTTGTTATCAATTAAATATTGTCCACATTTTGATATTTATCTACAAATTAGTAATTAATATTAGCAAACTCCAAAAAAATGGTCACAATCACAAAGTCTGTATGGATTAATTTGTGAATTTTTACAAATAGTAAAAGATAAATAATTGTTCTCTTTACATAATATAAATGTTGAATTACTGCATATATCAGAGCTTGAATAATATAAGTATATTTTACCTTCACTAGAATTTCAATGCATGAACTCAACACTCGTATAATTTCTTTTTTTGATAGTTATGATATCTGAGTTGATTTGGATACTTCATCTTATAGTAGGAGACAATAATTGTTATCTCCAACTAACATAAAAATCGAATAACCATACTATCAAAGCTTGAATAGTAAACATATTTTTACATTCATTAGAATTTGGATGTGTAAACTCAATGTCCATGCAATTATTTTTCTTTTTTTCTTTTATAATAATAGTAATGTTTAAACTAGCTTGCGAATTTCGACTAATAATAGAAGATAATAATTATACTATCTTTCATTAGTATAAATATTGAATAACTCTGATTATCAAAGTTTGAATACTAAACATATATATTTTTACCTTCACTAAAATTTAAATGTATGAACTCAATTGTCATACAATTTCCTTTTTTGATAATCATGATTTGGTGTTTGAATTAGCTTGTGAATCATTAACATAAATATCGAATTATTTTTTCGTATAAATATTTTTACCTCTATACAATTAGCCACGGTTCTTTTAACTAACCAATTTCGGAGCTCTAGACGATTGCCGGAAAACCTTCATCGGACTTACCAAATACCATCCCTTCAACTTCTCCGGCGAGCAATTTACATCATTTCCGCCGGATACTGACGTCACCGCCACATTCACCGATCTCGATCTCATCACCGTCGTTATCGCGAATTCCTTAATCCTCGTATCATTGCAGTAGTATGCTTTCGATTCCGATTCGTTCTCTTTCCCTCTCTTCCTTAACTTAAACATCCACCAGAACGATGCCGTTTTGTTACTTTTCTCACTCTCCGTCTTCCTTCTCCGATCACCGGAATCAACATTTCGCGATTTTAGAAACGGAATTCCGACGGATTTTGATCTACATAACTCCGTCTCGCTGCTGCCGTCTTCTTCGCCGGTTTTGTTACTCTTCTCATTCTCCGTCGTCTTTCTTCGGTCACCGGAATCAACATTTCGCGATTTCAGAAACGGAATCCCGACGGATTTCGATCTACATAACTCCATCTCGCCGCCGTCTCCGATTTTGCAACACTTCTCACTCTCCGTCTGGTTCCTCCGGCTGCTAGAATTAACATTTCGTGATTTCAAAAACGGAATTCCTACAGATTTTGATCTACAGAACTCCGGTTCCTCGCCGTTGATTTTGCCGGAGGATGAAGACAACGACGTCGTAGATGCGGCGCAGTTAGAGGAGCAAGGGCGCACTTTAGCACAGATAGGGCAAAGTTCGGAAAGTCGATCCCGGAGACAAATTGAACAAACTCCGGTAGTAGTTCGCCGTTTCTTCGAAGGGTGTTTTGGACATTTCCATGCTTCTTCTTCATTGTAGTACGCCATTTCTGTAAGTCTCTCTTTTTTTTTCCCCTCTTCTTATTTTCTCGTAAGTAATTCTCAAATTTCATAACAGCTCTTTCTAAATATATATATATAATCGGTGCGTTGCGCGGTTATTATTAAAATAAACTATATTGTTGAGGTGTTTGGTGTGTGTGAATAAAAACTTAACGCGGATAAGGAAAATGAAAATGAAAATGACGTGTTGAATGCATGCGTAGCCGTCTCATATCTATTTGTTGAATTGTTGTAAAGACTTTTACTATACTATAATTAATAATATAATTTGAACACGTTCAAGATTTAGCGTAGGTAAAAAGAAAAATAGTAGGTGAGTTCTTTTGTTGTTTATTTCAATTTTGGTAGGATATAAATATGTAGAGTTTGTGCGTATGAGAAATAATAAATATGTGATTAAATAATTGACGTATAATCAACATTGTAATCATATAGAAGTTATTTTGAGTTATTATTTTGGTAAATATAGTGTTTTAGACAAGTTTGTAGTTTGCATGCACCTCAATTAATTAGGATGTTCAAACCATTCAAATTGAATATGAAAATTTTAGTTTATCCTTTTGATTTTCGAATAAAAGAAATTACAATCTAAATTAAGCCTAGATCATGTAATTTACTACTATGTTTTTACTAGAATTTAAAAATTAATCTTCCATTATTTTCACTTGAACATCATTAATCAACTTTTAAAACAAATTTATTTTTGAATGCTCATTTCTATTAATATGTTATAAAACTTGAGTTCAAATCTCATGTACTGACGATATAAAAATCATTAATTTACTTAAAAGGTAAATCATAGGTAAAATATCTACACTAAAAAAACAAGTGTCCCCTAGGAAACAATAAAAATATCTACACTGAAAATGAATTGGTAATAATCTAAAAGGTAAGTGCATAAAACTAAAAACTCAAAGTGAAATGAATACATAGTAAATGTTTTTTAATTTTTTTTTGTTTCTCATTTCAATGTTCAATATTCGTATTGAGATTTGAGTAAATTAAAGTTTAAATATTATTGGGTCCATTTTGAAGGGGGCAACGTGATTTTTTCCATTTCTAAACTCAAATCTATTATCGCTGATAAATATTTTTTTAAAAAAAAAATCAAACCATTCCACCACCATTGATATCGATATGGGAAAGATCATAATCGAATACCAAATAAATTAATGCAAGGGGCAGTACACATTGACTTCTTCACATGCAAAAATTGACTCTTCGAAAGTGATAATACTAAAGAAATCTATTGTAAGATTTTGTATTACTAATAATTGGAAAAGAAAAGAAAAAGTTTTTTGAATTTGACCATACCATTTCTAGGTTAAAGTTTTTTTTAATTATTATTAATACACAGATTGATTTTTCTATGATTAAAAAAAAAAACATTGGAGCCGACATCTTAATAGTAATAACAATCATTCTTTATAAAAATATTTTACTATGACACTTGAGTTTCAGTAGAATCGATTTTCATGTGGTGTTATATCATATGTTAAAAAGTTAAATGTAAATGTTAAAAAGTAAGTAAAAATCAAGGTAGCTTGAGTGTTGTGTTTGATGAATTCGATCTTTAAAGTTTGTTTGACTATATTTTCTTGATTTAGAGATGTCTCAGAAACGGTATCTCTATGACTTTACCTGTATAGGCAATTGTTCGGGAGTTTGAAATTTTTTTATATGAATTAAACTTTATGATATTATCATGAAATTAAAGTTACATCAATTGAACTTAATAACACTATCCTGAAATTTGAAGTAACAAAATTTGGAGTTCAAAAAAGTAAAAAAACAATATATATATATATATATATATGAAGAAATAGAAGTAGCAAATAAACAAATTGCAAGAACAGTACAATCATGTCTTTTAAAAATTAAAATAATAACAATTGACTTGTCATAAAAAAAAAATCTATTTTAAGATTTTGTAGTACTAACCTGAAAAAGAAAGGATTTTGGCATCTTGATTCTTATTTGACCTTTTACTATTTCTAATTTAAAAAATGTTATAAATCTTTTTTACTATTTCTTTTTTCATTTTAGGTTTGAAAAATAATCAACTCTAACTTAGGGTCAAAATCTGTAGATATAATTATTGGTACAAAGGCAGCATTTATCTTGCACTAATAGGATTTGGTAGTAGCAATATGACATCGGATTATTATATGAGAAAAACATTGAAAATTGGAGGTGGGGTCAGGATTCAAAAGGTATGAATCTTGAATTTTTTTCAAGTTGATGAATTTTAATATAAAAAAAAACACTGGATTGACCTAAATTACTAAAATTTGATCAATTTCGCAGTCGATACTCTTGCTCTGTCACCGCTGAAAATCAAGGTGGATTGATTTATTCGACATTTTAATAGGATAAGTTTTTCATCAGTACTAATTGAACATGAACAAGATACGAAAAATGTTAGATAACGAATCATTTGAACTACATAGTTAGAGAATATAATCACTTTTAGTTTTGTCTAGTTTTATATGATAGAAGCACAATAATGTTCACTCTCATATAACATATTTGATCTCATAATTCCATTTATATAAACTTGATCATATTACCAGTCCCACATGATAAGATTATAGTAGGCTGAGAACCAACATAAAATAAGTTGATTAAATGAAAATGCAAATTGAAAAAATGAAAATAAGAGGGAGTTAAAATATGTTCTTAACAAGAATATCAACAATAAATATTAGAAGTGTTGGTCAAAAGAAAATTTCGTATAAATTTAAAAAATCCTAAATTGAACATGACCAACTTATATTTTTCGAATGATTTTAACTTATAGATGCGGTTGGTATTTTTACTAAGTGCATACCTAACTTAAAAAGAAAAAAAAATGCTTAAAAGCTTGTTGAACTAATTTAAAAGTTTACTCAAGAACTCAACTTATACTTTCTTCTAAAGAAACTTAATAGCCACTTAATTAGTGATGATCTTAAAGCAAGTATTGAGTTTTCACTTGCAAGTAGTTGCAAGTTATTCAAAACACATTTTTGAAAAGAAAAAAAACTCGTTTTGAACAAAGAGAAGCTTACATGGTATGAACAACAACTTCTGTGTACTTACCACCAACGGATGTAGTGCAGTGGATAGGGCAGTTCCTCCTTTTAACTAGAGGTTTTGGATTCGAACCCTAGGTATGAAAAAATCCTTGGTAAGGAGCGCTGCCTTTAAATGAAGTCCTACCTAATGCAAATGCGAAATAGTCAGACTTCAATACGAGTATCAGACACCAAATAATTTTTTTTTAAAAAAAAACAACTCCTACTTGCAAAAGGAAGGTGGTAATGTTGGGTACTCTTGTGCAAACTAATTTTATGAAACCCAAGGATACTTTCACAAACCCTCCTAGATAAGTAGAGGATAAAAATAAGATTGATGAAAAGATGGAAAAATCACTAACCATACATAAATAAGACCTCATATTACTAAATATATAGATACTTTTACTTACTTTGTTCATTTTTATTGTTCACTATTTCAAAAATAAAACTCATTTTTAATTGTCATTTTTAACATATCAAGAGAAAATTATTATCTTTCTTCTATTCTATCCTCAATATTAATTATTTGTTCCTCAAATCGTATTCCAAAGATCTAAGACAGTACAATAATTAATAGTTGTTTCTTAAGTGGCATGCATATATAACTGATAAAAGTGGACGGAGGAAGTATTTACTAATGAGCAACTTTCACATATAGCAAACACAAAATTCATATTTGTATGCTATAACAAACTTTGCATAATTGCGCTCCATAGCAAACATAAATATGTATATTTCGCTATACATATACAAAAGAAAGCAGTTGTATAATCTGCTTTGGTATACATATACAAAAAGATCAATTGTATAAAGTGAGAGAGACGAGTGAGCGAGCGAGATCTGGGAGAGTGGCGAGTGAGATCTGGGAGAGTGACGAGTGAGATCTAGGAGAGGGGAGAGAGGAGAACGAAAATATATGTATATATACAATTTTCACGCATTTTATACATTTGCGTTTTTGTATAAAGTGAGAGAGGGAAGTGAGAGAGCAAGATTTGGGAGAGTGGCGAGCGAGATCTAGGAGAGGGGAGAGAGAGGAACGAAAATATATGTATATATACAATTTTCTCTCGCTTTATACAAACACAAACGCATTTTATACAATTTGCGGGTTTTGTATAAAGTGAGAGAGACGAGTGAGAGAGCGAGATCTGGGAGAGTGGCGAGCGAGATCTGGAAGAGGGGAGAGAGGGGAACGAAAATATATGTATATATACAATTTTCTCTCGCTTTATACAAACACAAACGTACTTTATACACTTGCGTTTGTATAAAAAATGAGAGAGGAGAGGGAGAGAACGAGAGTGGCGAGGGAGATTCACCAGGAGAGAGGTTAAATAGCAATAGTTTGCTATGAGGTACAATTAAATCAAACTATATTTATAGCATTTAATTTGAATTAATAGTTTGCTATTATATACAATTTTCCCTTTACTAATCATAAATATTTTTTACAAAACATATCAAATTTGGGCTTTCAATATACCCATGGGTTTTAAGCTTAATTTAAGGAAGAATTCCCTTCTACACCATTGTTTTAGAAATGTTTTTTCTTGGCTAAAAAAATAGATTCCTCGATCTATTTTCGTATCTCTCATAATATATATTTTAACTCAGACACCAGGGTTATGAAAATCCAAGAGAAAGCTTAACTAAATTCAATCACGAATTCATCTTCATTGACCCATGAGATAAGATAACTTTGGGCCCAATAGAAGTCTGCTCTTCTTTAGCTGATCAAATGTTGCCCAAGAAGTTAAAAAGGCTTTCACTTTGCAGAAATAGCCTCTTTTAGGAATCGTATTTAAGGAATAGTCACAATGATAAACTTTTAAAAGTTCAATTTTTTAAAATATATTTTTAAATTTGATTATTATTATTTTATATAATTATTTAATATTAATAAAAGTAGAAATAGAAAAAGAAAATTATAATAATTGTTC